CGATTTTTTTGTGTTTGTCTTTTTTTTATTGTTTTCTATTTAATATTTTTCTTTATTCTTTAACTATTTGACTTTTTTTTCTTTTGTTTCCTTATTGGTTTTTATTTTTCTCAGGTTTATTTCTATATTTATAAGGATTAGTTTCGTCTCTTACATTTTTATTATTTCTAATGGGTGCTTGGTTAGCGAAATTAAAGCATATTATCGGATTTATCCCTGATAATCGAAAAATCCGTGTTTTGATACTTGGCTTAGATAATGCGGGGAAAACTTCTATTCTTTATAAGCTCCACTTAGGCACTGTGACTTCAACCGTGCCTACCGTAGGTTTTAATCTGGAAACTGTTGAATACAAAAATATTTCCTTTGAAGTTTGGGACTTGGGTGGACAGTCTGGTATTCGACCATATTGGAGGTGTTACTTTAGCGATACGGATGCAGTTGTCTATGTCGTCGATAGTACGGATAAGGATCGAATGGGTGTTGCAAAGTATGAGTTGTATGGTCTTCTTGACGAAGATGAGCTTCGCAAGAGTGTCTTACTAATATTTGCCAACAAGCAAGATTTGCCTGGTGCTTCTAGTGAGGTTGAAGTTATGCAGCAACTGGGTGTTACTTCTATTATAGATCGGCCTTGGACAGTCATCAAGTGCAGCTCTAAAACCGGGGAAGGACTTGTCGAAGGGATGGATTGGTTGGTTGACAAATTGCGTGAGAAGGGCCTTGTGTCTGATGAATGAGTAGCACATTAAACACACATTACCATCTTTATGTTTGTCTTCATTAAATTTGGTTTAGATCCAAGGATGTGAATCGAAATGCATTCAGGCCATATATTTTTATGCGTCCTTTATTATGAGTATATTGAATTTTAAATTATAATAAAAATATTTTCATATATAATGATCCTTATACATATGTCTAAGGGTTCTACAGGTGGAATCTTATACTTTTTATTAGCTTCTGTTAAAAATTTTTTCTTGGAAAGAACTTTTCCGCCATTATTCTCTTCTTTTTTCTGTTTGTAACTGGAAGATAAGGAATAAGAAATATTCGCATTAACAAAGTATAAGCTATGCGTGCTTAAAATAGTTATCTCAACTATTAACTAAGCCGTCATATATAAATATATATAAATAGATATATCTATATTGAACTTATTTTAATTCTTAGGTATTTTTTAGCATTTACTCAGAGTATTTGTTCATATTTTTGTTTGTAAGAGAAGGATCAACTAAAAATGGACTCTAATGCATTGCAAGACACACTTTTGATGCCTAAAAATAATTCTTCCGACAACATACCTATTGAAAGCCGCTATTCGTTGCTGGATCACTTAGGTAAGGGATCATATGGCACGGTCTGGAGAGCACAACACAATCAAAGTAAGAAAGTTTTTGCCATAAAAAAGGTTAATAAGACTCACGTAGGAGCAAAGGGCTTGCAGGAATTGATGAGTGAAGTTGAGTCCATGAGCATGCTAAACCATCCAAATATAGTGAAGCTAGAGGAAACTTACCAGGACGACTCCAGCCTTTGGATTGTAATGGAGTATTTGGCATGTGGTTCTCTAGATCAAATGTTAAAGAAAAAGGGAACCCTTTCTGAAGTCTCCACTAAGAATATTGTCACCCAGCTATTACTGGCACTAGAATATATTCACCGTAAAGGCTTTGTCCATCGTGATCTAAAACCGGCTAACTGCCTTATTTCTGAGGATGGCAGCACAGTAAAGATATCGGATTTTGGCTTTGCAGTTTTAGCAGGAAGTGAGCAGTGCTTAACGACATATTGTGGAACTATTTCCTTCATGGCTCCCGAAATACTCATGAAGCTCAATTATGGTAAGAACGTTGACATGTGGGCTTTGGGCGTCCTCACATATCTTCTTTTCACTGGTGAATACCCTTTTAAGGGAGACAGTTCTAGTACCCTTCGGCGTGAGATTTGCAAAAATCATTCTTGGGTTAACCGCAATAAGAAACTTAAAGAAGTTCCGCATTTGTATGATTTTATTAGCAGACTACTTAGCTTCGAACCAATAAAGCGTATGACTGCTAGAGAGTCATTGCAGCATCAATGGATTAAATTAAGAATGAACTCCTTTAAAGATATTGTTTCCTTCACATCGTGCCTGCCATCAGGTGAGTTTGGTGGATGCTCACCAAGTAGACTCAGAATGGTGGGCCGGTTCAGGTCAGCTGTAGTCGCAATCCTCGCGGCGCACCGATTAGTGTACTGGCAGCGATGCCGTCGGCTCGAAAAACTTGGCTACGGTCATTTTAGTGTCCTTCGAGACTTGCACTACTTTGTAGCTAAGCGCTTTGAACCGAAATGTAGTGGAAGATCGGTACTCTACTGCAGTCACATGTTTTCGCGGTGTCCCACGGCAATTACTGAGCTTCTACCTATGATTGCCGCGTCTGAGTCTATAGAAGAGATCAATTTGAGTCATAATAATATTAGCAGCCTTAGCCTTGTGCAAGATATTTTGCTTGCAGTTGCACATCATCCCAGCGTCGAGGTTATTAACCTGTCTTATAATCCTATTCCTGCTGTAGCTGGGCGTGGTTTACTGCGACTTGCACGAAATCCATCACCAAAGTTGCGTCGCATAGAAGTCATTGGTACTCCGATCGCAATAGATGTCGTAAGGCAATTAAGTTCACTCTTGAAGGAAAAGAATGGATCTATTACATCTATAAATTCAAATGCTTCTACCGTATGTACATCGAGTGCAGGGAAGGTAAGCTCATACTTTCCCAAGACGGGCAATATAAATTCCACGATTCCGCGTCTTCCGATTCATAACCCCATCCATAGTCCTGAAGCCGGTTCTCGTGAGCAGCCCTCGCTAAACAAGAGATTTGATGAAAAAGGAGAAACTAAACCAGACCAGTTGCCTTATATCACAAAAAGTGGTTGCTTACAAAGTACCATTAAGCGAAATCCGCGCTTGTCTAATTCAAGAAAAGGATAAGGGAGATAAATCTTAGGAGTTAATATAAATTAAATTAGAGAAAAATGTATGTATGAACATACCTATCAACATTTTTGCGTTATTTATTTTTATTCATTAAAAAGGTGCGAGTAGACACTAAAATGAGCCTGAATAAACAGGCAATGCGCACGATGCGTGATATTTAAGGTTTAAATGGACATGATTTGCAATTCTCTTATATATCCTTAAACCATCTCGTTTAATTATTAATTCTTATAACTTTTCAAGCATGCTTAAAAAGTGATCAAGGAGGAACTTTTCATGTCAGATAACACTACAAGTGGTAGTGGTGCGCTGGTAGTCTGGAGCAGCGCGGGACGACGGCTACAGTTTTCCAGGCAAGACTTGTCTATGCCAGAGCACATTCATAAACTTCCCAAGTGTGATTTCTTCAAGAAACAGTGGGATAAAGTTGCTGACTTTTGGTTTAATCGCGTTCTGAAGGAGACGGCTTTACAGCGAATGCAGGTCAGTGATATTGTGGCATCCATAGAAAAGGACATCGAGCGTCGTTGGCAACACCGAAAAGCCGAAAAAGCCCTATACAAGAAAAAAAAACGTCTGCTTGTTAGGGATGGGCCTGCTGGAAGGCCATCCACAAAGATTCTGATTACCAATATTTGTAGTTTGACATCATTTTTATCATCTTCTGAGATGGATAAGCATGAGCTGGTTAAGAATATTTTAAAGCAGGTAGAGACAGTGTGTAAAGGCATTGTACACGATGTGCAAATTTTGATTGATGACAATTCTTCTTCAAAACTAGACGAAACCGCTATGAAAAGGATGGCTGTAGAAGGGGAGGGGAAGCGTGAAGCAGTGGAGAAGGAATTTGATGACCACGTTGCGATTGTGTGCACCCTGGAGTCTAAGGAGAAAGCGGCACTTGCGATTGCAAATCTGCACGGGGCTAGATTTGATGGGCGCACCGTTGTTTGTTGTTTTCACGAACCTTCAGATACAAGGGAGGGGTTATGATGCCGCTGTTTACATTTTTATCAGTAGCACGCAAAAATTTCTAATGTTTGTCATCGTGCCACTGGTATTTTTTTCCATCCTAAATCTATTCAACTTGAATCTTACTACAGAGTAATGCCAGCTGACACTTGTTATCAGGATGGACAATTTTTCCAGCAAAAAGGTGGATTTAGAGGAGCCCTTCCGCTAACTTTAGTACTTGATATTGATCCTAGCTCACAATGCCTACCTTTTTCTTCTTCCCCTCAGGGGCTTTTAGTCAAATAGTTTTGCTCCTTTATTGTGTGTCCTTAGGTGGCTTTTATACTGCTCTTATTCGGAAAAAGTTCGTTTTATATAAAGTGTATACTAGGAAATCATTCTTATTAAATAAAGATTACCTACAAAAACTCTAGTGAGTTTCTTGGTTTATATACCCACATAACCATTTTTTCCTTTTTGTTGGTAATTTCCCACATTGACCAGTCAAAAATGTTTCATTTGAAATTGCTTCCAGATCGACAAAAAAAAACAATAGGAGTGTGGAAAGCACGCGTGCCACTCATTTGCCCTCCATGACAGCTCAGAAACCGGGTTACGAGCCGTGTAGTCAAGAGAATATTTTTAGTAGTATGAGTGAAGAAGGGAGTGAGATCGATATAGACGAGATCGAAACTTTTGTTGTGGGAGAATATAACTTTTCTGTTTGCCCGATATGTTTGGAACACTTTACTATACACAACCCTGCCATTATTGTGCATTGCGAGCATGGCTTCCATTTGCAGTGCCTGGAGTCTTGGCGGCAGCGGTCAGCAGTGTGCCCTGTCTGTCTGCAGCCTCTAGATGGGGATGAAGGCCGCTTAATGGAGGCCCGAGACACTCGGCGACGGAGACGCTTTCGTGGGGTTTTCTCATCTGAGGACACTCAGATCCTAGGTGCGCACAACAAAGTCTATGAGGGTGTAGATACAGGTGATAGTGGTGACCATAGCGGAACATGTAAGGGGGCTGATGATTCTACCTCTTTCGTGTGTAATTCAGGGACCATAGAAGAAAGAGAACCGCTAGCGCAGCATGTGAGTAGATTTAGACTCTGGAAATGGCTTTCCGATTGGTGTTCACGCGTTTAAAGTGGGGTTTTCTGCTAGTTTGCTTTTGCTTATATAAGAATCATCCTGTGCCGCACAGGCTTGTTACTATATATATATTCCCATCAGTTGTACCGCTCCCAAATCGGTTCAACAGCTTATTCTTCACTTTCTACAGGATGTTTATCTCTATAATGGATATTAAAATATATGTAACAGTTTTTTAGTATGTTTTTTTATAGGAACTTGAAATAGGATCTTACACTCAACTTTATATATGATCTTGCCAAGAAAGTTTTTTTTTAAAAATTAATTGCTGAGCCACTACTTTAGTCTTGCTATAATTATTTTATATCAATATTATAATTTTCATGTTTTTTTTATTAGTCTTCAAACAGGAACTACACTACAAGCTGGGGAATTTTACAAAGGTGTTGTGAAATACTCTAAATGGTGCCTTTATGATTGCACTTACTGTATTACTTGATGATACTGGTGGTTGTTCTTTTTCTAATATGTAATTCTGCTGTTTTATTTGGATATATTGTCACACATGATAGCTGGATTTTGTGTCGCACATTGGAGATAGGTGCATGAAGTACACTATTTTTTTTCTTCTATGACCCATGCAATTAATTGTTCTTGGATAGTGTTTCATGCATCGCTTTAGATTCCGAAAGCGTGTCCATTAGATTCAAACCAAAGTGATTCTTGGCGACTGATTTTACTCGGTTTATTTAAATATTCACAATGCTAGAGTATGACTGAAGTGTAACCATTGTAGAGTGCGGTGCCGTTTGAGTAAGTGTTGCTTCCGTGTTACCGAACGTGTGTCTTAGGGGATGATATCCTTATGACGTAGCCCATTTCATGCATTTGCTGGCTTTGTGATTTTTTCCATGAACAAAATTGTATACCTTGAAAGAAATGATGATGTTATTGCTCCGGCATGAATCCCGGTTATGATTACATCGTGTGGCAACAAGAAAAAGGCACTATTTAAGCATAACAGTCCCAATTAGTCCAGCAACAGCAAAAACCGATTCATTTCTTCCCTCTTCCCCATTTTGTTTATCTTTATGCATTTTTTGTGTCTTTGACTTTTCTTTGCTTCCCTCTCTAATGGGTTAAAACGATGACTAGCCTTGCGATTCTGAAAAGAGCAACGCATGAGATCCACGTGCTTGCGTACAACAACCAAAGGAACATCCGTTTGTGAGTTCGCTAATGGATCAAAAGCACATGAGAAGCTTTATTAGCATTCTTTTTTTTCTTTACCTTTTAGTAATCTCGAGGCATAGAAGTCTGGTAGTTGTGGGTTGATATCAGGGCATTCTGTGCCTTTTAAGGATTTCTCTCTATTTTGCTAGTCAGACATTTTAAATTTGCACTTTTATTAGCAATGGTGAGGGACGGTGATTCTTCGGTGATCCTCTTTTTGATCACGATGTTTACACATTTAGCCTTGTTTCCACCAATGTATATCTACTACCAGCGAGGGTGTTTTTTTGAGCTTTCGGCTGCACTCTTCGGTTTTGTAGCCTCCTTCATGTATCACACCTGCGAAGATTTTGACATGATTATCTTCTTGTCGGAAAGGCAGTGGCACCGACTAGACAACATTGGGGTTCTCACCACACTCGGGGTGTTATTTGTCTTTCTCGCTCGTTTCACTAACAAGACGGTAGAGAGGCTTTGGACCTATTCGGTCGTTTTCATCACAATCATTGTCCAGCAGAAGCATCCGTGGGATGTGCGCCTCACTGTAGCTCCACTTCTCATGTTCTTTCTGATACCTGTCGTAAATCATTGCTTCATCAATAGATATTTACCGTACATTAACAAGCGCAACTTCTTAGTCGGTGTTGGTTTCCTAGGAGTAGCGACTCTATTTTTTGTGAAAGGTCTTGACGATGACGACCCATATCGTCTGTTTCACGGCTTGTGGCACTTTTTTGGCGGCATCAGCTTTACATTCCTAATGTGTACGTTTAGCTCTTCCGCCCCCTCCAAAAGCGGCGCAAAGTACACACGGGATTTCCTTAGAAGCAACTATGATAGCCTTTAATTATTTGGAATTTTGTCACGCTAACATTATTTAAAAAGGTAAGAGGACGGCTCCCGTTGAGCCGTCGTGATGGAATATGAACCCCTTTTTTTGAGCCATCTTCCCATTACCATTTTTCACATTTCAGCTGCGTTTTTGTGAGCAACTCTATCTATCTCGTCTGTTTACCTTTCCTATTGCTGCAAAAAATAAAAAGCGAAAGACGCAAGAATAAGTATATTACCCCTTCTTCCCCTAATAGCAAAGCAAAACGAAGAAAAAAAATGCACTACCCTTTTATAATTCTTCTTCTCCTCTCATTTGCCATGGAACAGATTGATGTTCTCACAGAAGCCTCGCTTATGATGGAGTTTTCCAAGGAACAATTGTTTCTCCTCAAACGTCGTGGCCTGAGTAAGCCATCGAGTCTTTCGGAACTACCTGTGACACGCTTATTGCCTTTTACAGGCAATACGACAAGCTTGCCAGAGAATCAAATGCTCATGCTGTCTTCGTGTAAGCTGCATCAGAAGCTAAACGAGGATAACATCACTTGCAACAATGGTGAAAGGAATCATGAGCTCGACGGGCGAGTGACAGAGATACAAAGCATGTGTTTGATGAACGAGCAGGTGATGAAGGAACTTACCATCATAGAAACCATGCCGTTTAATCCAGATTGGCTTTTTTCAAGTATAATCGGCTTCACTGAACTAGTTTACAACATAAAGTGCGAATTACGTGGAATGAATGATACGCTTCTTTGTCTACCCAACTGATCTCAGGGCATTCTGTAAAAGAGAAATTTAAGCTAAAATGTGAGGATATAGTTATCTGCAACGCTCAGCTATATTTTTATATTGCAGAATATGGGCGGTGCTTCAGTTTTTTTACTTTTTTTTCTTGTGAACAGCGAATTCAAAATTGGGATGTTTGCATCATAATTTTGTTATCTATGTGCTAACTAATGATTTCATATTATTCAAGTAGTTAGTTTCAATATTGTGTTACTTATTGGGAAGCTTTTGGGTATTTTTTAAAATAATAGAGGAGGTGATAACCTGTTACAGGAAATCCGACTCTTATTTTACTGGAGGAGATCCATAAGAATATCCTTGGTCTGAGTAAATTTAATTTTTCCTCTGATACTTTTATATTCTTTATTATCGATTCTAAATAGCAAGTAAGCTTTCTTTTTACTATAAATACTACTCATACAATCGAATCCATCTATCTTCAATGAACGACGATACTAAAGCCCGTGGTGCGCTCCAAAAGGCCCAAGAGCTCGCGGCTAAGAAGGACTACGCGAGTGCCATTGATGTTCTTCTGTTCCTTCCAGGAGGGAGCTTTAACCCCATATATGCGCAATGCCTTGATCTCTTGGTAGAGTTGTGCTTATGTCAAGGTGGTGGGAAGTACATCCAGCGTCTTGATTTAATAAAAGCGCGCAATCGTCTTCGCGGGAGTCAACAGCTGGAAGAGAGTGCTCTGAAGTTGGTCAATATAATCATTAAACATTTCACCACAATGTGCCAAGTCGCTGAAAGTACCATGGCTTCCATCATCGCGCAGCCCTCTGAAGACGACATCATTATGCAGGAAATCTCTTTTATTTCCATCAAGCAGCGGGTGACGAAACAGTACCAGCTGCCATGCCAGCTGGCGGCCGAGCAGATTGCCAAGGACTTATTCCGAAATGGCGTTATTGGCACCTCAAAGAAAGTCTTCAGCCTATTCTGCGAAACTGCCATCAAATTTTCTAACATATGTCATGCGCAAAATTTAACAAAGGCAATTGAAACAATGTCCAGTCTCATCACGTCAACCCTTCATAACTTAATCATTAAGCCTCTTACTTCCGTGACTACCTTCCAAGAGCGCACCACTCAGACAGACCGCAAAGACTTTTTCAAGTCTGAAACAAGCGGCGGCGAGGTTGTGCGTGTTCTTTGCCACTTGTTAGACTTGCTAACTCAGCAGGGCAGCTGGACGCACACCTGGATTGTGATGAACTGTCTCAAGCAGGTTAGTGATGAGCTTTACGACCAGAAGGGTGCTAAGGACTTAAAGATGATCGCATACAAGAAGATGGCGGATATCTTCTGGGAATGTGGGATTTACAATTACCACGCCCACTGCCTCGCGATTGCCGCCGCACAGGAGGAAGAGGGGCACAGGACCCTTGCCACGCGTGCCGTGCTTGCCGTGCTAGCAAGTAAGAGTCAGGTCGAAGAGGAGAACCCCTTTTCCGTACGTAATGAACACCAAGTGCATCCAGACATTGTTGAGGCGTTCGAGGACCCCAATATTACCAAAGCAGCCCTTCTTGCGCGCCTAAAGCTTGATAATGTACTTGCATCAGCTGATCCTGACGCGTTACTCCTCGTGAAGGCGATTGAGGGAACTGAGCAATCCCATGCCGTGTCGATTGATTTCAGGACGCTTTACGAAAGATTGTCATGCTTGATCCAAAAGGAACCACGCTCCCTGCAGATGTACGAGAAGCGGATCCAGCTGAACTTGATGTATCTTCAGATGAGCATTCTTTCGGCAAACCACAATCGCATTCAGGTGCAGACGTCCTTCGTCCTGAACAGTGACGGGAGAGAGATTACCGACTCGGAGTACGTTAACGTGTGGGAGCCAGCTATTCTTAAAAATAGCAGCGTGCCAGTGGAAATCGATAGCATGTCGAAAACGATTTACTTTCGGAACTCCACCATGTCGAAGCTGCTACGGGCCTTTACGGCAATCGCGAACGAAGTGGATCCTGTCATGTCCGTCAAGAACGACACCACAGTCCTGGGATCCATTGGCGCGGAGGATTTGCTTGCCGCGCAGAAACACTCTCAGCTTTTGAACTCGTTGCAAATGGCCTGTAGCGAGGGTGTGCAAAAACGTACGAACGAGCGGGCCCAAAAGCTCGAGAAGGATCGGGTACAAAAGATTAATCTCATTGCGATGAAGGAGAAAATCAAGTGTGAAAACGCAATTAAGCTCAAGATCGCAAAACTGTACGCTGAATATCGCGAACGTCAGCGACAAGAACGAAACAAGCTGGTTGTTGCCAAGCTGCGTCTCAAGTACCCCGGCTTCAAAGTGGACAATGCCATCTGCCTGAAGAGCGCGGGCGCGTTCGAAGACGAACTAACGCAGCTGTTGGCCGCATTCAAGCGGAGAATCTCGGAGGGTGACCGGAAGGATGTGCTAAAGGTGAATCTTGTCGAAAGAGCCCTACGACAGCTTGAAATACCTAAGCTCAAGGAGCAGCAAGAGGCGAACGCTGAGCAACTCCGAGCCGAAGCTGAGGCCGCCAAGGCTAACATTCTCGCACAGCATCGGAAGGAATTCGAGCGTCGCCAAGAGGAGAAGAGGGTCCTAAAGAAGTTCCTGCCGGATGCTAAGGCGTTCGAGGAGGAATGGCTGCGCAATGTCTCACAGGGCAAGACATCGAAGTGGGAAGAACAACAGAACCTATTGGAACAAGAAATGCAGCGGCTCGCTTCGCAACCGGTCTAGAAGCCAGTTTAAAAAGATGATAGGAATCAAACTAAAGTTGTTAAGGAAAAACTCTTAAGGTGAAGATTAGTTAGGCGAATTCTAATAATTAAATTTCATTTAACCTGAAAAATTTCTAACCTAAGTCTCGAAATTAGTTTCGTTCCCATGAGTTTAGCCCGTCTTGATTCTGCAAAAGCGCTCGCGGAATACCATACGGTAGCGTAATGTCATCTTTTTTCCTTTTCACATTAATCATTAGGCACACCTAAAATAGGGATTTAGTGAACCGTTTGTTACCAAAATTCACCTAGTAGAAGGTAATGAGTGTACTTTCTCATCTTTAGATGAGCTATGGAGCCCTTGTTGACGCAGAATACAGTTATTTGTGTGCCATGCGTGACGAAATGCTGTCCCGAAGTAGTTGAAGATTGGTTGCGTCGTACAAGGCGCAACATTGGTTGTTGTTGTTATCCCCAAAGAGGTGGAGCTTAACTGGAGGGTGGCAGGGCGTAGTGGAGAAGAGCACGGGTGCACGTTCTCCGAACAAGCGGAACCTTGCCTGGCCGGGGTAGCCACCTTCTTCCAGTCTTTTGAGTTGGGGATAAAATTAGGGGTAGAGGCTTGTTCCACAGCCTGTGCGTGCCAATACTGTGGATATGTAAGATCATATCAGGGATGCCGAATGAACTGCTCCCGACTCTATGCAACACGAAACATGAAAGCTTGCAGGGTAGTCGTACGAACTGCGCAAGCGTGATTTCCTCTGTGGCCGGACTCGTCAACGCTGTTCGTATTGATCAAGGTTAGCGAGATCTTTCTCCCAGTATTCACGAGGTGCAGTGTCGAGCTTATCCTTTGTGAAACGGATCCTATGTGCTCGGGTTGAGTCTTGACGCTCGCTGTTTGTCCGCGTCTTTGAGCTTGCCAAGGACCTGTCAGGCGGCACCGTCAAGGGTGCGCTTTGCTTCTCCGCTGTGCCGATTCAGGTGCCACTCGTGTGGTGGAATGTTGGCATGCTGCTGTGTGGATGGCCGAGACATTCCTCCTTCAAGCCACCATCGACTGCCTGTTAGTTGTGCTGGGGCGAGGTATCCCTCCGCATCGACGGTGTGACCGTGAACCACAGGGATGGAGATCAGATGAGGAACAATCTAAGCCATGCCCCCATCTATCTCATCTCGTAGAGCGTTCCTGTCCATGAGTTCTTTCGGAGGCGTCACCGCATATGCCACCAGGTGAGAGGAATCCAATGACCGATACTATTTTTCTTGGTACCTAGTTTCAAATTCATGTTGTGGTTACTTCCTACTGCATTTCCTTTATCTTTTCCACGCACTTGAATTTGCTTAGACACAGGGATAATACACATTGCTTCTGTTTTATAAAGTGGGTAAGGGTTCCACCATTGGGAGGGGTTCACACATACAGAAGCTAAAACAATAGTATCAATGAGAGACTATCTACGAAAGCGATTACAAAGGGGTATTTTTAAGAATCGCCTCCGGCGGTCGCTTCTCGTTGGGGTTATCGGCGTGCTTTTAATACTTCTTTGGCTATACTATGCTGACGATTCGAGGAGGATCCCATTTACACCATCGGTGCTTCCTCCTGGTGGTACGCAGGATATGTTCCTTCGTTCCACAGGACCTCGCGTGGTGATCTTGATTATGAGTAATAGAATAGATGATGCCCTTTGCTATTCTGTGGGCTCAGCCTACCTAAGTGGATTGCCCGTCGTGGTGGCCGGCTATCGGATGAAGTATCGTGGGTTTCTGTCCAAATTTGAATTCATGGAAAGGGCCATCAAGAATGCAGAGCTGAAGCCAGAAGATGTGATCATTGCAATGGACTCAGACACAATCTTTACGGGTGTGGACATTAACCCGTTTCTGGATCGCTTCATCGCGCAGTCC